CCCCCTCAGCACAGTTAAGGTCCCGTCGCGTCGCGCTGAGTCGGGCGCAGCCTGCGGCGACTTTCTGCTTGTGACCAGTGGCACCTGGGCGCTGGGCCGAGCACGAATCCGCAGCAGGAGGGGTTTGGGGCCCGTGCTCCCTGCCTGTCCCAACACAGACCCGAAGCAGGCTGGTTTAGGAGGCCGTGGATGGACATCCCTAATGAAGCCACCCCTCAGCATTGGCCAGGTCCCCAAGAGGCTGGGTGCTGGGCACACTGCAGCCGCTCCCAAAAAGCAAATGGGCCTCAGTGGAAGTGTCAAGAATCAGACCAACTTCATCTGTTCCCAACAAAATATTGTAGACAGTAGTGCTAATGAAACTCCTATTAGTGGTGATACTGGAATTGCCACTAGTACCATAGTGAGCAATTCTTGAAAACAAATAATTTCTAGTATGTTCTTTGATGTGGAAAAAGAACAGTACATCTTACTCCATTTCCAATCGCCCAGTGTTTTGCTATCACCAGTGGAAAGGACTAGAACTGGTAATACCTGTACTACCTTTGCTTGGTGTTTGGCTTGTTTCTCTTCTAAATAGCTATCAGTGTTTCCTAGTTTTCCCATTTGGTAAATCGTGGTTTTGTGACCAGCTCAAATACCAGACTAGAATGAAAGAATGCTACCTAATATTTACTCCATACTTCCTTACTAGTTTCATTGCTAGAATTACTAGAATGAAACTAGTAAGGAAGTATGGAGTAAACAGTAGGTAGCAACTTAATTTTTTTTTTTTTAAAGCAACTGTGTTGCTTTAAAAAAATTAAATATGGACAGAGCCCTGAATATATTCTCATAGTTGGGTGATGACAGTTCAACAGGCCCATTGAAGACCATGCTGGAAGAAGTAAGAGCACTCTGCCTGCCAGAAGTCTAGGTTTTCACCTTTCTCACAGGGTCCAAAGCTTGCTTGCCTAAAATCCCAGATTTCCCATGGAGTAGGGACCCTTGAATACATCCATTGTCTTGTGTCCTGTTACTGGGAGGGGCATACCTGCAACTCCCTAAAATTGTGCCAGCCTTGTTAGCTCAGTTCTGCCCAACCAAAAAATCACTTCTAATTAGGAGACTTTGGTCATCATGATAAATAACCTTACACCAAGTATATTCTGTAAGAGAGGAGTCTGCAGGAGTGGTTATCATTGTTATTGAAGAGCTTGCTGAGGGGCTTCTCTTCCTGCCAGATTAAATTTTTGGCTATGAAGATCTTTAATACTTCATTGGTTGAGCGCTGAGACACGTAAACCACTGTATATATGTATTTGATGAAGCAACCTTGAAATACCAGTAGATATCTGGGACATTAAGTACTTTCTAGAAGCAAGAAGTGCATCCTGAAAATACTTCTTGTTTTCCCCATTCTGCAGCACATACAGTTTTTTTATGTAGCATTTCACATTAGAACCTTTCAAAGCAGGAGGATTTTGGTTAAAGATTTTTTCTTGTGTTTTTGTTAGGGAAAAAAAAAAACAAACAGTATTACTTTAAAGCTTAAAAACTACTTGTCAACAGATAAAGAAATGAAAGCACACTACAGGTATTTTAAGGTAACATTAGGATCTAGCAGAGTTCTGTATGGATTTCTAAGAGTTTCTGTTGTCCAGGGTCTTTATTCTCTGCTTCTAAGAAAGAAGAGACATGTAATTTTTCAAGATCTTAACCACAGACAAAATCATTATTTTATAGCAGCTGACTGCATGGGGCAGGTGGAGGCTGTGTGAATTCGATCAGAAATGAGTTTCACGAGCAGCACAAAGACAATTTTTGTTATTCAGTGTAAAGCCAAGCAGGCTTTGGACAAATGCCTATTTTCTGGCAGGGTTAAGGAGATTTTGATACTCGTCACTAACTTTGCCAAATAAAACACATGTTCATCTAACCTGGATGTGGCTTTGTACTTCCATGCTTGGATATGAGTTGGATCTCTTCCCTGGAATCCCATTCTTAAGCAGATAATATAGAAATGTGCAATGTAACAGAAGTATTTTGAATACTGGAATATATATCTCAATGGGGGATTTGACTGAAATATATTTAATGGAATATAAATCTCTTTGAATAGAAATTTACTTTTAATTAAAAGTTTTTTCTCTTTCATTTCAGGCTAACTACTTATCTAAATTTTCAAACGCTCCAGTTATATGCAAATTGGTTGGAAGAAAAGTTCTTGATGGAGTTGGTCAGCCAACATTAGAAGTAGAAATACACTGTACAGTTAAAAACTGTGAGCAGGTACGAGCTGCTTTTTCCTGTTTTATTTATTTTAATAAGCCAGTATTAGGTAGAGGTACTATTCTGCTCACATCATAAGGAATATTTTATTTTCCATCTTTAATGAAAGGATATTAATCTGTGGGACTCAACAGTTGAGTGTTGTTATTTACAAAAGAACTCTCATAACAGTTAGTGGCAGCAACTATAAAATCTTTATTTTACATCTATTAGACAATATTTTTTTAATGAGTGGGATGTGACAGTGCATCTTTGTATATTAAATTTTTGTCTGTCTTAATTTAGCTTTTCCTTACACCTCATATCTAGCCCTATAAGTTCATTTTCCTTTTACTTTTTTGGTTTGCTTTGGTTTGGTTTTGGTTTTGGTTTCAGATCCTTGTCTTTGTATGACAGTACTTTAGAAAACAGTACAGGTGAGAACCAGTAGAGGTGAAGGCACTTTTTTACCCTGAGCTAAGAGGCAGATGTGGGTGATGGCTGAGTCAAACACCTGCAAAGCAAAACTGATGGAGCATTGCCACCTCTCCCCCAACCTGAAATATTCAAGATACTGTCTTGGCAACTCTAGCTGTTGTGGAGCAATTATTTCTACTCTCCCTCAATTAAACTATGGTTCACTTCATTCTTGGATTCAATATAATTTTGTAGATATTCACAATGTGTAAAGTTACTACTGTTAATGCAGCTCTGTGGTATTTGTAAATAATGTCTTCATTAAGTGAATTTTCTTAAGTATCATTTATTCTTCATCATTACAGAAAGAGAATTTTGAATGACCTAAGACAAGATGTAGCTGATGATGAGGGATGCCATTAAGCATGAATGCTGATGAGTCATAGTACCTAATGACTGTATGGTCTTTAAAATAGCTCCAGTCTATTCCAGTAACAAAATATATGTGTAAAGCAGATCTGTCAGGGCTTTTTGCCTAAGTAGTTAAGAAACTTGAATAACGTCTGTTCATACCAAAGTATGAGAGACTAGAAAGAAGGTGCTGGATGAAAAGAGGTAAGTGGAGCAAACAGTAGATTTGGTGATAGGTACTTCTAGATTTGGTAAGGACATATACTTCTTAGTTGTTCAAATGACATTTGCAAGTTGGAAATTAAATGGTGTTTTAAGCCATGTTACTTTTTTGTTTCAGAGGATTTGTTCTGCTGTAATGTCTTCTCATTGTCAAATACCTGAAAATGATTCCTCTGAAACAACTGAAGCTGATGAGAAAGAGAGAGATGACTCTGTTAGCACTGCTGTGGAATGGGTCAATGGATCACTGAACACAATGTTAAAAGGCTTGAAGCCTGCTGACCAGTGTCAAATTGATGAGATACTTGGGTAGGTCTTGCATATTGTGCAAAGTAGTGTATTTGAAATGTTAATTTATATTGTAAATGAAAAATATATCGAATAGTCAGTGTGTTCTGCTGTTATTTTTAGGATGTGATGTCTTCATCAGATACATTGCACTATATTATTTCCTTTTTTCTCATCATTATGGTATGGAAACCATGCTGATTTTTACAAGCTTTCATACATGAAACACAAAAGTAAGGGTCTCCAAGGAAAAACAATGCCTGAACATGTTTGTGAGTCAAAGGCTCCATTGAAGAAACTTGTTCAGTGCCAGTTTAATTCAGTGGGGATGTTTTTTCACTCTTCATTTCTGTTTGTTGCATGGCAGAACAAAAGCAGCACAAAAGGCCTGTATGTGTGTGTCTTCTGCATCCACCTAATCCACAGAAAACATATATATACTTACAGTTGTCAGGTTCTGGTGGAGTCTTCTTTCTGAGCAAGTTACTCCAAAAGGCTTCTTTTAAAGGCAAACATAGTTTCTTTAGTAAACATTCTTGTTTATTTCTCCACACAAGTATTTCTTCCTGGGAGCTTCCCAAAGTAAAATACAATGGCCATATTTTTCCATTCAAAGAAATATATCTGGATTTTATAAGAAGGAAAACCATAAGGTACAAATATCAGAGATGGATCTGAATGCATTTTTATGGTAACATTAGAGGAGCTACCAGGCAACGTGGCTTTCTGCACTGTGGCAGCAATAACATGGCCTGTGGACCTCTTCTGCAGCTGGAAGTGTTTCTTTCAGGTATACCACTGAGGGGGATGACACTTTGCTGCAGGGGTAGCAGTTGGGCTGCCACACAGACTGTAGCAAACAGACCTTCCACATGGATTAGCTTTGGGAAAACCTTGATGAAGGGAATAAGGAGTCAACTGGAAATAAATTATTCCAGCTGAAGTGAGTTTAAGCTTTTAATGTATTGTTTACACTGCTGTATATACTTCACATACTCACTGTGCCTGAGCTGGGTGACTGAGACCCACGTGTGTAGTTTCCACTTCATGCATGTAATTGAAATTCAGACACTTTTGAACTTGCAGCCACTTAGATAACCAGTGTTCAACTGACCTGCTGGATTGGCAACCTCGGCCAAGCTCTTGGATGCCATGAAATGATGCCCCAATCTGTTACTACCCAAGCAGATACATCCTGCATGCTAAGGCTGCCTGCTCAGAGCTGACTTTCAAGCCCGTGTGATTTGAAAAGCATCTGTTAAGGTTTATAATACTTGCTTGTGGTTCTTTTTATTTAACTGATGTTGTAGATGACTGCCAAAAAATAATGTCATTTATTGACTTCTCAAATAGATGCTCTTAATCCACCTCTTAGCATGTAATTTAGCCTGTATCCTGTGTCTACTTGTCGCATCTAACAATATTTTGAGCCAGTAATCTTTATGCCTCTTTCCTCAGAGAATACTTTATGAAAAAGGTAGAAGAAAAAATCGAAATTCAAAAGCAAGAAGAAGAAAGAGAAGAAAAAGCAGAAGACACTCTTGCCCTTACTTCATGCATTCCATCAGCTACAGCACTACCTAGGAAAAAAAAATCAGCAAAACCAGGTTTTGGGTTATTTGATTTTAATATTTTCTGCAATACAGGTATTGATAAAGGTGCTAAAATACTTTCTGAAGTACTCCACGGTCATGGAATACTTCAGAATGCATGCCATAATGTCTCGTGGTCAAAGGGTTTGGTTACTCTCTCCTAAACCTTTCTGATCACAGCAGATTCTACTGCAGAATTGAGAGAGGGGAAAATACAGAGTTTTCTCATGATTCACTTGCATTGGTTGAACAGAGTTTCTGCCTTTGTTTTACAATTGGCTTAGACAGGAGGTTATTATTCATCAGAGTGAGGAATAAGAATGGAGGAGGATGCAAATGAAGAGTAACAATGAAAATTATAAGGAAAGAAAAGGGAATCACAAAACAGAACAGAAAAATGGAAATAGAATCAAGATAGAAGTTGAAAAGAATGGAAAGGAGGAGGAAGGGAAGTTTCTTGCTAACAGAAAAGGAGAAAAAAAGGTGAAGAGGAGAAGAGGTAGAGAGAAAGGGATAAGATGGGAATGATGGGCAGTACAGAGTAAAAAGAAGTGAACAACCCTACTAAAGTAAAAAGTGATGTGAGAGTAGAGAAACAGAGTAAATATACATGGTCAAAAAAAAAGGAAAAAGGAGAAAGGCACCATGTTGTGCCACTACCTGTGCAGTGTAAAGGATCTCTGCAAAGCACTGCACTTTGCAGATTTACTCAGTACTTACCACTAGTATATGCATAGCTCCTTATCCTCAATGTAAGATATATAAAACCTGTGGATAGTATGGAAATCATGCATAAACTAACCTGCATAACCAATTAAGGTCCTATTAAGGACATTTTATGATAAAATATCACGTGTATGCAGTTTTATTTTATTGAAATGAAAACTTGTATGGCACTCCTATTAGGAACAAAAGTAGTTGGTCAGATTTACAAAGAAGTCCCTGGTGGGTGTGATCCTTGAGAAGCAGGCCCTCATTTTGGTTCCACATAGGTGCTTACTGCACCTGTTCATGACAGCAATTCATGTGATAGTGGGAACTGCCAGGTTCCAAGCATTTTGACAAAAGCCACTCTACTGTATCTGAAATGGAAATAAGTTCTTTTGAAAGCATGTGGAATATTTAACAGACCTGTTTTCTCTTTGGAAAATCCAACTGTAGCAGGCCTAATTATTTTTCCACAATCATTATTAGAAGAAATCGAGTGTGTGTACATACTTGGACATCAGGTCCAAGCTGCTTATGCAAAAGCCAAGTACATAAAATTACTGAAATCGTGCTTATGAAAGGAACCTGAAAAGTGAAATAACATTATTGGATATTAATATAGATAAAAACCCAGATTTCAGTGGCTGAAATATCCGCAAAAGAAGTTGATTTGAAGTACATTTGAAGCCAGAGTGAGGGCAGATACTTTGCATACTTGTAAGTTCACTTCATCTAAAATAACTGGCAAGGTTAAGTTTAAGAAAAAGAACAAATTCTTTTGTAATTCACTGAGTGCATACTGAACTGACCATATTGTATTTACCCATATAACTGTGATACATGAGCACATGTTTGAAACCAATAAAGTATTTAGATACTACTCTGTCTTGTAGGAAAGAAGGGGTCAGAAGCAGAGAGGACAATCCCACCTGCAGAACCTGTTGAGTCAGTGCTTTGTGGCAGCATAGCCATTGGGGGAACATCCCTTGCTGTAGCTAAGGCTGGTGCCACCATTAGCTGTATCCCACTGTACTTACATATTGCACAGCTGAAACATCAGCAGGTACATGTGACTTCTGTAATTTTGTTTATTTTATCCCGGTTATCATAATTGTTCTAGAATTCTGAAGCCAGTAGTCCCTTGTGAGAGTGATATTAAACATACCTCACAGAATACACCCTTAAGACCATTGCCTGTAGCAGTCTTTGCCATAATTAAAATATGTATGAAATTATTCTGATTTTTAACATTTTTATTTTCATGTGGTACTCCCAATTACAGGATTCACCTAAAGAAATGACTCTACCACTCCCAATGGTTACTCTGTTGAACTGTGAAAAAATCTCACCTGCAAAACTGAAATTAATGAAGGAAGTTATGCTTATTCCACCAGTTCAGTTATCACTCAAACAGGTACTGTTTCATTTTTGGTTTTATAAATGTATTCTAGAGACTTCATAAAAACTATATATGTCCATAAGTACATAGATCTTTTCTATATAGTCCTTATAAATTCAGTTTTTCATATTTTGTTGCAAAGCCAAAGTTTTAACAAATGTTAGTACAGTATTCTAACCAAGGAACACTAAAGGAAGTAAATAGATGAAGAATTAAAAGAAAATACATGAAGATTTCCAGTTTAAAATGTATCTGTTAGTACAGAGGAAAAAAATCAGTGCAGTAAAGATGATGTAGGGGAGTTGTCTTACACAACAATAAGAGATATAAATTTGCTTAGAATGTGATTTTACATTAGTAGATTATAGACAGTATCAGTTGATGGATAGAGCATACCAAACAACAAAAGTCATAACAAATTCACAGGAAAGCATGCAGTCTTTGGGAACAAACTGCTTTAAAAATGAAATGGTGGTGATAGATGGGAATACAAAGCAGAACAAAATCTATTCAAGGGGCAAGAAGGATGGATAAGACTGACTGGCTCAACCCTCTTTTTTTGTTTAGCCATGTCTTGCATTAAAGAATGTATCTGGACAAGATGCCTACATCAGGGCTGTGGTTTCTTCTTTGTATGCTGGTGACCTGAACAAATAGCTGAGCTCAATTCTCTTTTTCCTTTTTCTTTAACTTTTTAGAATTGTCACCAAGAGCTCTTAATAAGGTTGCTAATTCTGTCCCTCCCAAAGTCATAATGCCTCCTAGTGCTCATGGGAGGGCAGCAAGCTGCAGTGCAAAACCCATGGCTGTTCTTCCTGTGCGGATGTGCTGTCAGCTGTGACTGACCTTCAGTATTCCTTTGCTAGTACTGTTTAAGAAAATCCAAAATGTGATTTATGCAGCTGGCATTGAACTTTTACTAACTCAGCTGAAAAAGAGTCTTGGTGTAAAAGCAATGGATTCATTTAACTGGAGGGTCCCTGCATTCCCCAGGGTTTAAAATGAGGACAACAATTTTTTTCCCTGCTTCCTGAAAATGTTTGAAGGTAAATGCATTCAGTTTTGTCAGAGTTTCCAATTAGGAAGTCATAGACAGAGTCACAGTTGTGAACAGTGATTATCATCTTCCCACTTCTCAGATACTGCACATACCCAGATAGTGCTTGCTTGTTAAATTTGGGATGGGTTCCTTTTGGAGAAGAGACCACTTTTCTTACCACCCCATTCAGCATCATGATCAAATATTCCTGTTCATTCCACTGCTGCTGACCCTTGGACACTTGACTGCATTTTTTGGGTGGGGGGATTGTGTTAAGGAAGCCTATGAAACTTTTTTTAAAAAATACTTTCTATTAAAAACCTGCATTTGGAATGCGTGTTCTCACTCTTCTGATTTAAGCTGCTAAAATGAAATAATTTATCTTTCTTATGAAGATTACTGCTGTTTAATTTCAGGGCATGGAAAGAGTTCTGGGAATTCAGAAAGAAATGATGAGACTGTTGCAGCCCCCAGGCAAAGCGGTACAACAGTAATGTATAATAATAGTGTGATGTCCTTCATTTGGTCTTTTTACTACTATTGTCTTTCTAAGCTTAAAAAGAACATTCAGCCTGTTATCAGGCTTAGTGTTATGGCATGGTACAGATGTGTTTCTCTGACAGATGAATAAAACATTGGCCATTTGGTGGTATTAAATTAACAAAGGTAGAATAAAAGATTGTTCTAAGCATAGTAAGACTTTCTGTTTACCTGAAGAAGTATACTGAGAGTGAATTATACCTTATATGACAATCACAGTGATTGAGTAATCACAGTGATTATACCTTATATGGTTCTGATATTCTCTGACACATGAAACATGTATTATTCAAGGTACTATTCCTGTATTAGTATATCAATACCAGAATATGCAGATCCTTTTTGCAAAGCAAGGTTGTTGAGCTTCTCTGACTACAGAGTCTAGATTCTCATTTCTGAGATCTCCAGTATTTTTGATAGGCTAGGTGAGAATCTTTAGAAAAACAAATGATGGAATGATGTCCACATAGATATAAACATTTTAAGTAAGTTACCACCACAAAATAAAACTGGATAGTTGCTGATAGCATTCAAGACAAAACAGAAGCTAGTTCTGAACTAAAATATTTTCAATCTTTTTAGGTCAAATTTCAGTCAACTTTTTTTTTTTTTTAAAATATACTGAGGTCTTTTTTATTTTTGGACTTTTCCATAGAATTGATTTCTTCTTTTACATCCAACAGTCCAGTCATCAACTAGCAGACAGTAAGAAAGGCAAAGCACATAATGCAGGGAAGAAAGCTCTGGTAAGAAAAGAAATTTTCATTTTAAAACTTTAGCAAAGTATTGACAACAGCAGGGAACCAACATGTCCTTAAGAACTGAAACATTAATCTACATTACCATTTTGGAAAGGTCAAGGCAAGACTTTTAAATATTCCAAATGCTTATATTTTACATAATCATTTGGATTCTTCTGACTATACTTTCCCTTCTTGTGGAACAATAACAGAAAGGGGATATTCTTCTGGACTCTGGTCATTTTTTACATCTAGAAATCCTGATAAATTATCCAAATGAGCATTTTGCAGGCCTGTAGTACCAGCAGAGAACATGCCCTTTTGATCATGTAAGCCACAAAACTTACCTATAAGCCTTGCATATCATGCTGTTTCTAACTCCTCTCTTAATCATGCTGCATTAAGTTCAGTGTTCCTGTTTGAGGTTATAGACAATGGCAGATACAGACCAGTAGCTAAAGGGCAGCACTCACAATATCACACAGGACATTGTGTTATAGGACTCAAATGATCTTTTTTTATTACTTCAAATCCCATAGCTTATAGTTAAGTTTTCCAAACAGTGGAAATGCCTTGCCAGTTTTGCCTTCCATTCAAGGATGATTAAAATATGATCAGGTGAGAATCGTTGCTGTTGTGGAGTGTACAAGAGAGAGGATGAATACAAGTTTTTGGTTTGGCTTGGTTTGGTTTTTTTGTCACCTAAGAAACACAAAATTCATCATTATTAAACAGCTGGCCAATGTTTTTCTGGTGGGTAATTCCCTTATACTTATCACAATATCTACTGCAGTAGCAAGTTAAAGTAATTCCTTAACATATGCCCAAATGTGCTTGTGGCTCGTGCCCAGGAGCCCTGTTCCTGAGGCAGACAACTCCCTGCAGCTGGGCTAGAGCTATTGCCCCTCTATGAAAGTTGTTCCTTCTAGAAGTCTTGCAAGATTCTAGTGTTTCTTGAACACTCCATAGAAGCAATATCTAAGCTGCAGCTGAGGATAAATGAGTAAACACTGTTTAAAAGTAAGGGTTTTTTTTGGCAAAGTCGTGGTCCACAGTGTGAGAAATTTTTACATAATATCCATGACAACTCAGAGATTGTTAAGAGTGCCTTTAAAATCCTTTTGTAAACCAGTACTGGCCATATAAGAGTGAGAACTACATGACTAGATATATTTCCAAGGACTGTTACCTCTCTACTCATTAGCGCTTGATTACCCCTCATTCATAGAGAATTGTCCTTAAAAGTTGCCAATGCGACTTCTGCAAACAAATTTATATTTTGATGACTGAATGCAGACTGAAATAACAGTGAAATATATATGTAAGTATCACATGTGTAAATAAAATTATTATTTTTGTTATACTTTCAGCCACGAGCCTTAAGAATATCACACTTAGGTTGCCCAACAACAGAATGTGATAGTCTAGAACAGCCACTACTCCTGATGAAAACAGCTTGCAGCAATGTAGGTCTGGAGCTAGGAACAGACATGTTCTTAGCAGTGAATTGTGCTGCTCATGAATTAATGGATTATGTAAGTTATTTTCAATGCTTATTTTGTTGGGTTTTAAAAGGAATGCAGCTATTAGTTAACATTAGTTATTTGTTATTATACTGCAAACTCACCTAGAAGCTTCTAACTCCATTTTTAAGGCATCAATCAAGCAAAGCAAAGTAACTGTCTCTGCATTTATAAGTGATGGTTGAATCAGTCCTACAAGTGTATTAGATATGTTACTGGGTTCTAAGAGCAAGAGCCCAAGACATGCAGACATTGTTCTGGCAGCATGATGCAGTGGGAGCACCAAGAATGCCTCTAACTTTGGCCATTCAGATGGTATAAGCCTGCCTGCATCAGCCCCATTTATTCCTTTTCTCTGTTTAATTATTTAGTAAGATTTTTCAGATCAGTCAGTCAAATCTAGCAAACTGGTGTAATGGTCAGACACCTACAGTATGCTCTACTTAACAAACCAGCTTCACTTCACGTCTCAGACAATTTGGAATTAAAGTACTAAGTGGCAAATCCTGGTTTGGGTTTTTTGTTTGTTTGTTTGGGAATTTTTTTGTTGTTTTTATTTCACCACAAGATGCAAATGAAATAATTATCTTCTCTCCACCTTGCTTTCAAGGATGAAGAGCAAGAAATTACTTACACAAGTATAATTCCTCCGCACCACTAGATGCTTATTTCTCCATTATATTACACTACATCTGTTGTTTTTCTCAAACTACCTTGACCTTTCCCTGTATTTTTACTTCTGTATGTTTTTATACCCCCTAGCATTCATTTCATTGTGTATCAATATCCTTTTTTTAATTGGTATTCTTCAACATTTTTATTGGACAAAGTTTATTTATCTCCAGCTGAAATCTTGAGGTTCTTGCCCCTTGCTTCAAGATCAGTCAGGTTTCTCTCTAAGCAGAAACTTCCATTTAATGTCTCATGAGTTTTTGTGTATTAGGGTGTAATGCAGTGACAAGCCTTCCATTACTAATTCCTTTTGTGAAGGCAGTTGCTTTCCTGACAGTCTGTGATACCCATATCCAGTGTCAGAACAAGCAAAATCTGAACCAGTGAATTATCAGGAATTGTGCAAGATTTTGTTGTTGAACTGTTGAAGTGACTCAAGCAGTGGGTATTCTGGCAGGCTTTGACACTCTGCCCTTGGTCACCCTCGTACACCGTGGTTTGTGCTTCCTAGAATGATGAGACTGGTTTTAAACTAGGGCTTGGGGTTTTGTTTTGTTTTGTTTTTTTTTAAGGGGAAATGGGCAAGGAAAGGCAGTGGTTTGCTTTTGAGCACTGAGGGTGAGCTCCTTTCCCCTAGCAATATTTTATGAAAATGGGGACAAAAAAAAATTAACTTTTTTTTTTTTAAGAGAAAAGTGAAAATTTTCACACAAGATTCAATCAAAATGTCAGATATTGCCAAGTTTATGTTAAATTAGTGTAAAACTGGCAGGGTTGCCTAGAAAATGCTGAAATAGGTCTCCCTTGTTTTGAGAGTGGCATCTTTCAGAGCCTTTGGCATAAGACAGCTGGAACCCTTGTTACTTTAGGCAGGGTTTCCTGTAACAAGGTGCCAACCACTGAGACAGGGAGTGAAGTGGACAAGTGAATGTCTGCTTATTGGCCAGCACACAATCCACAGCCTTAGGAGAGGTACTGGAGTCACCAGATCTGCATGCCTGCCTTGGCACTCTGGGTTCTGAAGACCTTCCTTATCTTTTATACCTTTTACTTCACTTTCTAGGCTAAAGGAAAATACGAAATACTCACTGGAACATTCAAAAGTCCCGATGAAATGGTTGAAATGTACATGGAACTGATTAATAAATTTCCTTTTATTATTGTATTAATAGATCCCTTAAGAAAAGAGGTAAGATACTACAATGCAGTCCTTGAAAAACTGATAATACTGTAGTGGCATATCACTGAACTTTTCACATTTTTACAAAACATATAAAATACAAAACATGTGTTTTCAGTCTTTAAGGAAATAATATCCCTATAAAACGTATTTAACAACTCATTTGCAGACCTGTAATTGATAATAACACTATTTTTTTTCTCCTTTTGACATAATTCCTGACAGAAAATAATCCTGGTACGATGAGAATATGGTCAATTCAAATATTTTAAAGAATCACAAGAAAATACTTTTTTTTCCGATTCTACTTGTTAACCACTGTAATTTTTAATACATTTTCCTTTTTTTGAAAACAAAGAATGCAAATTTCAAAAATCAAATTGTAGCATTTAAATGATATATCAATTATATTCTATTGCATTATTTGATCTATTTATTATATTACATGGCAGAAGCTAAAATTTGTGTATTGTTGTGTATTCCTTAGAATCACTCAACAAAAAAAAGATTGCTGCTTTTCTTTATGGTTGAGATTTAAACCCAAAGCCAGAAGAAACCTGTCACTGGCAGCACTGCTCAGCAGAGTTTTTAAAGTGGTAGTAAGATACTGTGATCAAAGTTAGAGCAGTTTGTTTAGTGTGGCCAATAGATTACAACAATAAAGTAGAATACTATAAAGCACGTTATCAAGTTACTGATGGATGAAAGAAACAGATTGCATCACCTTAAATATTAGCATTTATCCATAAGATTATAAGGTTATGTTTCCATGTGTTATTAAAAAAAAAAAAAAAAAAAGATAAATTGTAGCAGAACCTAAACTTACAGACCTGGATTCTGCAGCTGCACACCTTGATAACAATTTGCCCTTGCTGTTGAAGTGCACACTTGCTGTTCTTTAAAATAAATGCAGGGGTTTGCTTTCATGAACAAGACAGGAAGGCCGTGATAGAAGGGGGAAGCAAAGTGAATCTGCCCAGTGCCTGAATCAGTAATTCTAAACCATGTGAACCACAAAATCCATCTGGTTTTGTTCTTAACTGGACCTTTCGAAGTTCATTTTTGGAATGTCTGTGGTAGTTGCCTTCCTCTAGTTAGCCTTGTCTCCCTGCTCTGATTCAATCTGTCTTTCTGAATTACCCACGTTCCAAAACACCAGATTAGTCCCTACTGCTGCCAGGAGTAGGCTGCAGACTTCCTTGGGAATTCTTACAAAGAAACATATTTGCAATATGAAAATATGCAGGAAAATTACAACAGATAGTGAAGCAGATTTTAAAATAGAATACTGCTAAGGGAAATGCCTCTCCTCCCCCCTCCCCCAAAATCCACAAAGTTTACCCATGCCACCTCTTTGCCACAAGTAATTAGATCCTTGAGGATTAGCCCTGGTACCAATTCATTGCCAGAGAGCAGAACACTTTACTACTTAAGTTTAAGCATTTGCTTAGGTGTCAAAAACTTCATTTTCACTTACACATGGGCTTGAAATCCTTATGGGAATGGACCCTCACACAGATGCAGCTATACAGGTACAGAAGTCTGTCCCATCTGCAGAACAAGAATTATTACTTGCAGAATTAACAACTAGAAAAGCAACATTTTTAATGTGAGAACTCTTCATTCTGTGGACACAAAGAAAGCAAATTAATTTGTAAATATCTTCTTCCAAATTATTTGCACATCCTTGTCCTTTATCCTTAAATCTCGGTACCATGTGGAAAGTGCTTTAAGATCAAGAAACAAAGACCCTAAAAAAATGAAGCTTTGCTGGAAAGCTGTGTTCTGCTGTTCCCTCTGGGTCAGCCTTACAGCTCTGAGCATCCTGTCTTCATGTGTGTCACCGAGTCCATGACTGCCTCCTCTTACATTATTTTATAGTCAAACAAATATTATGACACTTAAAATGTTAACGCAAGAATGAGTCCGCCAAATAAAACAATATCAATTAACTTTATATTCCATTAAAATTAAATAACTTTCAGGAGGGAAATAAAAATAAACTCCTACAGTTAATTTAATTTGAAATATTTTAAATTGTACTTGTATGCAAGCAGCTTTGATTAATTGCAGGTTAGAATTTATGTTATCCAGCAAAACCTTAAAATCCAAGCAAAATTTCAGTAGTATGTTTTTTTCTTAGATAGACAGATTTAAAATACAGTATAAAATTTGTTTATATGAAGAGTACCTTTAGGATTCAATCCAATTTGCTTTCTTTTTCTAATTTATTTTTACCTCCCCATTTATGGCTTTCATTCAGTTTCAGTTTTTAAACTCCAGTTATTTACTGTATTTATATTAATGCAGGACAGACAACAATGGAATCAAATATGTTGTGCTCTTGGTTCCAAATGTTACCTGATCGCTGAAGATGCTGCCACATGTATTTCCAAAAGTAAAATTGACCAGAACGTGAACATACCAATGTGCAGTGGTGTTGTCCTGAAATATATCAACCAAACGAAGGTATCAGACCTCATAGAACTTACTGGACTTCTAGACGGTGAGTGAAGGGGGGAAAAGGCTGAATTTCAAACCCTGCAAGCCCATAAATAGTGTTTCTACACATGTAAATACTACATCTTTTAAAATAAAAAAAAAATATTGCCACTTCTGATTTAGAAATCAAATTGTCAGAAGAAACTAAAATTCCTTTTTTCATTCACGAATCTCTGTTCAGGAGCTGAAAACTGCATTCAAGGCTTTAACTATAGTGAATTAATGCCCTGTGGATGTTCTGAATAGGGGTGCCCTTTGACACTGCAGCTAAGTGTCATACAGTTAGATATCAGAATTTAAAACAATGAAAAGAGATGCAGTTCAGTAATCTGAATTTTGACTAACAGTAGTTTTAATAATTAAGAAAGCAAATCAAGTCCAAAATGTTTTAAATTGTGGTTTATGTAGATTATTGACTACATATTATTGAGCTTTTAGGGTAAGAGTACTAAGAACTTGTGCAGTTTCATATGTAAGATTTCTCTTGGTATTAATTTTCTTTATTCGTTAAATAGCTAAGGAATAGATGGACAAATTTAATATATCTAAATTCCTTCTGTATTCCTTAAAAAAAGCCCAGAATCACTGTATCAAAGCAAGTAAATAGCAGCTTAAAGATTTCAGTCAGTCAGGATAGTAAACTCTTATTTATAGGAAAGACAAATCATTACTACAGTAAGGAGCACATTTAAAATAAATGGAGCAGCCTGCCAGCCTGTGGAATACATTACCGGGCAGAGCGGCGAGAGACAGGAATTAGGGTGCTGGATCTTGCCTCATCTGTGCTGCAAATAAAACATAATGCAGCAAGCTAAGGGAGTTTACAGTCCTGGGAGACGCGTTCCGTCGGGTTTACTCCTGGTTGCATTGAAACTTAGATAGCCCAAGGGTAAAAAAAGTCCTAACAATTTGTCTGTCGAATGTATAAAATATACACTAATGAAGGTTTTATGCTCCCGATACATACAGGTCAAAGACATATTACCATATTAGGAAGTCCAGATGGAGAAGCTCCTGATGATAGCCTTGTGGATCTGGGAAGTATTGAAAGCTGTTCAATTGCAGAATTGCCAAAACACTGCTTTTAACATGAACTACTTTTTAAGGAGAGAGCCTGTTTCTGCTGGAGAAAGAAACAACGTTTTACAAAATGGGCTTTTTCTAGAGACTTGCTTTTTATCCCTGCAGAGAGTTAATCGTTGAGTTTAAAGAGAACACACAGGAAATTTGCCAAAGCAGGGAGTATATTCAAAAGTGTGTATGATCTATTTGGTTGCCTTAGTTTATAAAAAAAATGTGAGTTACTTAAAACATTTCTGAGCAGTAATAATATTTTAGGCAAAAATTCTTAGCACGAGTCTATTTAGCCTTTTTGTATTAAAGCTACATTTGCAAATAAAATTTCATTTCACACGCCAGCGAAAATTATTGTTTGCATCCCACAAATCTTTCATGAAGAGACTTTATTTCTACTTAGAGGAGGCTTTTTATCTGTAGAAAGGTGAGAGTGTGAAATTAGAAGCAGGATACCAGGTTTAGTAATTAAGAATGACTTCACTTCCCAAACGGTGCCGTTTTAAAATACGCCCTTGTCTCGTTTCAGGCTGTTGGAGTGGGTGCCAGGTTTATCAAGTTGGGAGGTCTTTCCCGTGGAGAAAGGGTGACCAAATACAACCGCCTCCTGGCTATAGAGGAAGAACTGGCCAAGAATAGAACTCTACGTATGAGCTTCTTTCTTACTTTGTTTTCAGCTTGCAATGAATACGAGAACAAAGATTGGAGGGAGAATGATTGAAACTGCTCCACAGGAGGGAAGGGAAATCAAAAGACTATAAATAAGCGCTGACAAAAAAAACCTAGGATAGCACTTGCCACAATGTATATTGTTGTCCTAATGGATTATCTGTTTACTGAATGTTAAAATAGACCCCTTCTTGAGGAGTAGCCTACATTAAGCTTTTTTTTTTCCCAGAATTAATTGGTTGGAGCCTTGAAGCCCACAGTGCAAAAGGAACAAAACAGAAAACCGTGCATATAACACGCCAAAAAGCTGCCAAGATGGAATTTTAGGCCAAATACCCACCTCCCTCAAGCCCCTAAACATATATATCTAACAAAACTTCATTTCACAGACCTCTTTTGTGCGTTAAATTTCCAGCAAAACCTGCCTGGAACACTACAATTGCACGGGTAAGCACAAAGTAAACCCCAAGAAATCCCAAAGTTGAGGATGCACATTCGGCCTTAGCCACTTGTGTGCATCTGCCTGTGTTTCAGGATCCACATCTTCTTTTTACACCAGAGGCTACAGTGTTCAATGCTTAACAGTTCATTAGAGCCTCTTCTCACTTGCTCAGGTATCAATCAGGACAGAATAAAGGCATAAAGGGGAAGCAGAGAGACAAGGAGAGAGAGAAAGGAAGGAAAGGGTTTGCAAGAATTTATTATCCCCAAGAAAAAGAAACGTGAACTAGAATTAAGTCATTTTACCCTCTCTTTCTAATGATTTTCAATGTTCTGTGTATAGCACTTGACATGTGCACTAGACAACAAAGTTTTTCATTTAAAAAAATCTATTACAGATATTTCGAGTTTTTGAAATCTCCCCTTTGCTCCTATGTAATCACTGTAAAAAACGAAGTCAGAAATTCTTTTTCCTAAGAAAGTAGTTTCACAGAATGCGTTTTTCAAAAACAAGATTATGATAGAACTATGAATTTTAACTGCCTCAGAGTATGAGCATCTCCCCTTTTCAAAGGGTGTAGTCTAAACAAAAGAGCTCGAGTCTGGCAGATATTTAGACCTTTATCTCATAAAGTGCAACAGCGACAATTCCCGAAGCCGTTGATCGTCTGGCAGGAATAAAATCCAGCATCTAAATGAAGAGCAGGGAAATGCTGGGGCGGCCCGTCCGCGCTGCGCACCAGGCTCTTCATTTGGCAGGCTGAGGGCAGGGGGACACGCTGGAGGGCTGGGAGGGGGTGACACCGACCCCCGGGAGCGGTGGGAGCGGGGACGCAGCCGGGCCCGGGAGCAC